TTCATTTTGTGTTTAAAGTCTGTCCAACGACAAAATCCTTGACCGTGATAGATAGGTCTGTCGAATTTATTTCAAAGTAGTTTGTTTTATTTTACGAAGAAATAAGTTGGTACAATTAAATACCCATATTTAAAATTAGAGTGACAAGTGATTACTTCAAAATATTGTGAAAAAAAAACTTTATAAAACTGAAAAAATCTAATAGAGTTATTTAATTAAAAAAATACGGTATGTGTACAAGCGAAATACATATATGTGAAACAAACAAGGATGTTTTTTAAACAGGCCACATACCAAAAAAAAAAAAAGAACTATTTCTTACTTTCAAGCTTAAAGGAACTTCCTGCATTTATTATTATATTTTTCAATATAACTTATATGCAAATAAAAAAATATTAATATTGCACAGTAATAAACAAAACACAACATAATTAAAACAAAATATTTTATTAATAATAACCTTTAATCTTAATTTTTTACCAGTACCTTTTGAAAATGTTTCTGCAGTACTAAAATCTATATCTACCTATTGTATGATGTTATTTTACAGCTACTCCAGTTTTAATACCATATATAGATGGTATACAAACTTTACTGATGGTAACTTTATTTGTGTATAAAACTCTCTCTCTGGGCACCGAATATTAACTATAAACTGTGCTCTGGGTCTACAGTTAAGTTTCCCTCGATTTTTCCTCCACTTAACTTCAAAAAACTCAAAATACACAACTAATAACACGAACCAAAATGCAAAAGCAATTCGCAAATCGGTATTTGACATAATTTGATACAAAATTATAACCTATAATTTAGCAAGAGTTTGACAAGCCTCAAGAATCTTAGTCGGGTTCATACGCAAGTGGGTACGTATATCGTTCATCGTTGCGTCAATCCAATAATATTGAAATATGATCTGTCATTTTTGAAATAAACCAATAAAACTGGTTAAAAACAACAAGAGACAACGCGCGACCGATTTATTCAGATAATATATAATCGGATAAACCCATCCATAGTTAACTTAAAAAATATTAGAAACTTTTTTTAGTGAAATAAATAGATTGGTATGGACGTCATCTGCTTATTTTCTGTCATCGTCTGTTGAAATCTTACCTGAGAGAAAAGAAAAACAGAGCATAGCTTCGTCGTTTTGAATTAACTGTGTCTTATTACAAATTTAATATTAAATAAACTAATTTAAAGCAACGTTATACTTAATATAAACAACCCCAAAGGCAACTTCATTAATGGTGTTACGAGTTTTCCTCTAAACTTTTCTATAATTAATCGGCGAATTTCTGCATAAAATACATAAATTTTACGTGGCTTGCAGTGCATATCGGTGTTGGATTATGAAATAGGAAAACAGCCCTAGCTGGCTTTTCCATATGAATGGAAGGCAATTTGTCAACCACTCGGAAGAGAGCTGACAATTACCAGGAAGGTTTCAGTTACCTGGCGCTTTCGTATAAACTAGTTGCTGTTTTAGTGCACATTATATGTTAATTTTTGTCTTGTATATCAACTTTAATTGAACGAATGACGTTTTTTTTCGAGAAAAAAAAACAATTTTAGTTTTAGTTATGATTTTTTAAGTATTTGTAAACTAACTTAACAATCATTTTAGCTTTTGTTCACAAATTTAAAATATAATATTTTATAACATTTTATAGTCGACATGATATATTTTTCAAATCAACTGACCTTGAGAAAACAGTAGTTATCTGGTAAATTAACTTCTAGCATCAACTAACAGTAAAAATGTGTTAATACCGGGTGCGTCTGAAAAGTGGCTCACCCCTATAACTTTTTTATTTTTTTTTCAAATAAAAAGTCGGAATTTGGTATATTAATATATGACATAAATTAGGATTGACGTATTCAATTGTTTTCTGCCACTTTCTGTCTTACCGGGAATGACCACAACTTTTTTATTCTTAAATGGTACACTCAGTGTTTTGTTGCTTTATTCGATAGAAAATGACACTCTGAATAGAATAGCATATCATATGTCAACTTGTAACATTTTCGAATATGGTTTATTTGAAATTCCAACATGCAAATGGAAACCATAGTTGGCCATGACTTCATAAAAAGCGCCATTTTTTAAGCTTTTCAGCGATATAAGCTATAATAAATATATTTTCATAAAATTACTGAGTTATAGTAAATTCTTATGTTTCTTAACATTTACACTGGACGCGCGTTTAACTAACAATGTTAGCATCATCAGCAGATGATTAAAAGTGTTAAACATGTTACATGGTTAGTGAAACGCGCGTCCAGTGTTAAAATTAAAAGTGTTTAGGTGTAGGGTAGTGATTTAGTGTCTTATTTTGCTGTGTAACAGCAAATGTACCATCAAACTGTAATTAGTTTTCAAGTTAGCATTTATAGATTTTATGCATCTATAAATGCTAATTTGTAACGTTTTTAGTTCGTTACATGTCTTTGTATATGATATATAATGATGTCTGGCGTATCGTCACCCGATTCCGTATCGTTCAGGCCTGATATTTTATTTGAGGCGCTTGGCGTAATTTTTACGTTCTCTAGTCGACAACCCTGTTATCGTTTCACTGCTCTGTGGAGGCGCTGTCAACATCGCTCCAAGGTTTCGCTCTCCGCGCTTAACTTCACTTTTTGTCTGGTCTCTGGCCGGACGGTCACCTTCAGAGCCCTGCTTAGAGAAATTGCAATTATTTAAATCTTGCTATATAATTTGAATCAGCTGCTGTTTCGAAACTACAAGGTAGAGTTTTGGATTGGCCCACCTTAACTGGTATTTGTATTTTGCTGGCACGTTGGTGTACTTTTGCTGTTGTCCTCCAGAATGTGGAATGGAAGAAAGGACAGTTCTTTTGTTTATTATTGAGCCCTCGGAAGTGTTTCGAGGTAGGTTTATTTTGTTTATTAAACTTTGTTTGGTTTTAAACAAGAGTTTCGTATTTTTAGGGTCCTATGGTTGGATGTCCAAGGTACGGACAGTATCCACGGTACGTGCATTATCCAAGGCCCTAGTAGTGTGACAAGGTACGGGTAGTGTTCCCATATATAGTTTTCCTATGGATGGGTGTCCGATGGACGAGTGTCCACTGTACGGATAGTTTATCCTATGTACAGAATGCCCCAGTGTGGATGTGGCGTAGGCCCCATGCTGCTTCGTTCCTGTTTTTAAGCCTAATCGATAGTTACGGCTGTATTAGTTCATGGTGTCCTCATCCTGGTCCCTTTTGTTGCATTGGCCGAGAGACTGTACAGAGATACCACCTACGAGTCCCACCTCACGCTGTTACTGTTTGAAGCAGGATTGTCTCAAGAACAATCAGCTAAGTTTAGATTTAAGTTCTAGTTTTTATGTTTTAGATGTTCTACATTTTCAATCTTGAATACTTAATATCGTACTAGTGGATAAATTACTGATGTTCGATTTCGTATTTAAAATATGATTTAGATCTTTAGCTCGTACGAACATTACCTTTTGTAATAGTATTACTTTCTATATAAAAATAGCGTCATTTTGACAGATGAATAACCGAACAGATTCTAGAATCTACGACTTGCAACATCTTAGATTTAATATCGTGTAAAATTTAACAAACTAATAAAGTAATGCTACTTTTTTATATTTTTAATAGCTCAATCTATATTGTATTTTCCATAGTCTTTCATTGAACGTATTTAATTTTATTTTTAACATAACTTTCTTGGACATAATATAACCACCATAAGTATTACAATTTTACAATGTTATTTACCATCAAAGAACATCATGAATAAATATAAACATTAGTTTTAAGTAATATACAACTGTGTTTTCTTTCTCTGTACATGCCTGGCGCCCTATGTCTATATATTTTGTTTATTATTATTAATTAGTTTTCTTTCCGGTGAAATACCTTATCCACGACTGCTCTCCGATGAAAAGCTGCCGTTCTCAGTGGAAGTTGTTTAAAAAACGCTATAAAGTTGAAAACTAATTACAGTTGGATGGTACCTTTGCTGTTACACAGCAAAATAAGACACTAAATCACTACCCTACACCTAAACACTTTTAATTTTAACACTGGACGCGCGTTTCACTAACCATGTAACATGTTAGAGATTATGTCAAGTCTGAAAATTACAACATTTCAAAATCAAAACTTCATAATTCGGAAATTGTTGAATTTAGATACATAATCGTAATACATATGATGTACCTAAGTTCAATAATTTCCGAATTATGAAGTTTTGATTTTGAAATGTTAAATGAAAATTTTGTAATTTCCAGACTTCATATAATCTCATTTTATACATCTATAAATGCTAACTTGAAAACTAATGTCAAATATTATTAAGTATCACAGTTTCCGCAGAATGGCATAGTTAAATGAAACCGAACACATCGAAATTAGTTAAATCGAATTGTTTAAGTGATATTTTCAAAAGTCAATAACTTGGAAACGGTTGATTTGCGGTATTGTGTGTATCTCGATTTTTGCTTAGAGTTGAAGGAAGAACCGAAATATGCAATAATATACAGGGGGTTCCTTTTAAAAAAATGAAACTTTGATGTTCCACGACTTTATGACATACCCAGTATCATCATCATCATGTAGCCATCGTTGTCCACTGCTGAACGTAGGCCTCCTCCATATTTCTCCATGTCTCTCGATTTGGGCCGTCATCATCCAATTTCCAGCAATCCTCTTTACATCATCGGTCCAGCGTGTCGGTGGTCTGCCTCTACTATGTTTATCTGCTCGAGGTCGTCATTCTAACAATCTTCTAGTCCACCTGTCTTTAGATGTTCTCGCCACATGACCTGCCCATCTCCATTTCATTCGAGTTACGTGTTCCACTATGTCTTTAATTTTGGTTTTTTGTCTGATAGTCTTATTAGGAATTTTGTCTCTTTTAGTTATTCCAAGCATGGCTCTCTCCATGGCTCTCTGGGCTACTCTTAAATTTTCTGCTGACTTTTTCGTTGTTGGAGTTTCCGCTCCATATGTAATTACCGGCAAGACGCATTGTTTATAAACTTTCCTCTTCAAGCATATGGGTATATCACTTTTAAAGGTCTCCCGCAGTTTGCCAAAAGCAGCCCAACCCAAACCTATTCTGCGCTGTATCTCGTGTGTTTGGTTGTTCTTTCCGATTTGTATTTCGTGCCCGAGATATTTGTATATATGTGTTTCTTTTATGTCTGCGTCACCTATTCTGATGTTCTGTGTGAGCACTAAGTTTGTCATTATTTGCGTTTTACTCGTATTTATCCGGAGACCGACTTTTAATAAGGCCTGCACTAATTCTTCGAGCATCTGCTTTGAATCTCCGATGTTATGTGAGACAAGGACGATGTTATCTGCGAATAGATGTGTCAACCTTTCACCATCGATATTTATGCCCCTATTCTCCCAAGAGAGTGATTTCATTGCGTATTCAAGGACAGCTGTAAAAACTTTAGGCGAAATAGTATCCCCTTGTCGAACTCCTCTGCCTACCTCAATTTTATCTGTTGTTTCGTGAAGTTTTACAGTTGGTGGCATTACTATATATGTATTCTATAAGCCTTGTATACCTATAATCTACTCTTCCCTGCTCCAATGCTGCTATTATTGATGTTAATTCTACTGTGTCAAATGCTTTCTAGAAATCAACGAACCCCAATGCTAGGGGCCTGTTGTATTCCACAGATTTTTCTATCAGGACTTTAATTACTTGAAGATGATCGTTTGTTCCATAACCTTTCCTAAAGCCTGCCTGTTCTCTTGGTTGATAGAAATCTAGTTTACGTTAGAGACGTTTGGCAATGATTTTGGTAAACAGCTTATACAAGTGACAAAGAAGGCTTATCGGTCTATAATTTTCAAGCTCGGTGATATCGCCCTTTTTATGGAGAAGTATCGTTATGGCGTTGTTCTATTGAGACGGGATTATTCCTTTTTCAAGGCATAGATTAAATAAGTCTTTAATCCATTTTAATAGTGTTCTTCCTCCGAGTTTTACAGCCTCAATCACTATGCCGTCCTCGCCCGGGGCTTTCTTATTTTTCATTTCTTTTAAAGACTTTCTGATATCTTCTGTAGTTATTTCCGGTATATCCTCTGATCCCTGGTTAACTATCTTTTTGCACAGACGTTGTTGACTGTTGTATGTTTGTTGGTGATTACTTGTGTATAGTTCAGTGTAAAAGTTTTCTGTTATTTTCATCAGCCTTTCTCTATTTGTTGTTACGACCCCTTGGTTGTCTTTTAGTTTAAAGATCTCCCTCTTTCCATTTGATAGTTTTCCCCGCAACACCTTCATACTTTGTCTTCTATAGTTCGCCTTATATTATCGGTATTAAATTTTCTTACGTCCTTTCTGATTTCTTTAGATATTGTTTTGTTCAATTGTCTCAGGTCTTCAGAGTTTCTGTTATTTTGTTTTAACATTTCTTTTCGCAAAGATATCATATTCTTTGTATTTTGGGTAAGTTTTTGTTGTTTGTTATTAATTTGTTGGCAGTGTTGTACTTCCGCTTCTTTAATGGCTTCAACAATATTGCTACTTATATTTTCAATATCGTCTTGGCTGTTTAAGGTCCGTTCTTCCAGGAAAGCTGTAACGGAAACTGCATAGTTGGAGTCACTGTTAGGGGGGTTCCATTTAGTATTTTTGTTTTGTCGAACCATCTTTGACCTTTCTTTTTTCAAGTCTATCCTAACCGTCGCTCTAACCATTCTGTGGTCGCTTCCTATTGTACAACTATTCAGCACCGTCAGGTCTGTTACTACTTCTTTCTTATTCGAAATGATGAAGTCAATTTCGTTTCCTGTTTGTTCATCCGGGCTTATCCAAGTCCATCTTCTGTGTTCTTTTTTCTTGAAGAAGCTATTTATTAAGTATAGTCGATGTTGCGAGAGAAAGTTGATCAAAGTACTGCCTCTATTGTTTCTGACTCCCATTCCAAATGGACCCGTCACTTCCTCAGCTTCATCCATTCATTTCGAAACCTTGGCATTAAAATCTCCTATAAGAAAGGTTTGACTACCTCCAGGAACTGTAATTGCCCTATCGATGTCCTAGTAAAATTGGTCTATTTCGTCTTCTTCGGCTGTACATGTTGGTGCATAGGCTTGGATAATTTTCATTTTAAGTCTACTGTTTAGGCGGAATATTACGTATGCTACGCGCTTGGAAACGCTTGCGATGCTTAAAATATCTGAAGCATGCTTTTTATTTATCAAGAAGCCTACACCACCTAATGAGTTGTCCGTTTCGCCTATATGGTAGAGAAGATGTCCTGACTTGAGTGTAGTCCATGCTTCGCCTCGTCTTCTAATTTCGCTCATTCCAATAAAGTCCCAATTAACTTTATCTAATACTTCTTGGAGTTCCAATAGTTTCTCCTCCGTTGATAAGCTTCTAACGTTATATGTATACCCAGTATACTTAAATTTATTACCCGCTAATAGATATTTAAAAACCTTATAACTTTTATATTTAACTTTTAGGTACCTCTTATATTTTACCTAATAATCGAGTGTTCTCATATACAGGGTGAGTTCTCTATGGGTATCTCGGAAACTACTAGAGAGAGTCAGTTAAATGGGGAAAGAATTGCAATTTTGTGGGATCATAAATATGCGCATTTCAGATTTTTGAAAAAGTTCATGGCTTACTAGATATTTCGAAAAAAACAAATTTCGGCTATTTTAAAAATTGTCCCTAATTCTTCCCTAATCTTGTCTATTCTTCCCTAATCTTGTCTATATCTTCCCTAATGTTCCCTAATCCAAAAATTGTCCCTAATTCTTCCTGTCCCTAATTCTTCCCTAATAAGCTATTTTAGACAAAAAGTTTTCAGATAAAAGTTGTAGATAAACACATCCTTAATGAGACTGTGTCCTTTTTTTTTCTAAAGCCTGTCATTTTTGACATATGACACAAACATATGTTTTTTTAAATGGAAACTATAGTTGGCCATGACTTCATAAGAAGCGCCATTTTTTAAGCTTTTCAGCGATATAAGCTATAATATGTTTTCTTTGAAAAATTACTGACTTATAGCCAATTCTTATCATTTTTAAACAATTTCACTAAGTTAGCCATGGAAACAAGTTCAATCGTCTTTGCTCTCGTAAATGTGAAGGTGTCACATCCAAACTTTGTAAATTAAAATAAACAAAAATTGTAAATATGAATTTTTCAAATGAAGCAAAGCGTGTATGATTATTGGTTCAACTTTTCTTGACCATACATTTTCAAGCATACGTTGACCGGTGAATGTTACGTTTTTTAAAGAACGGTTTTCAAGACATGTTAACATGTTCTTATCTTTCTTGACTAATTTCACTTAGATTGCATGGTATTGTTACGTTTTTCGTCGGTTCCGTGTGGATAGAAAGCCACAATTTATTTAAACACTATTTATTTAACACTAATTAATAAAAACAATAACGATAAAAGACTTATAGAACTATTTACAAACGATTTATAACTAAGAATTTATTTTGAATTTTAGCGCGTCAATTGCACTCGTCTATTTATATAACTGCCCCCTGTAGGCCACAGCCGCCGGCTTTTATACCGACAGGTAAAGAACTCTAGAATAGTCCATAGATCGTTAGGTGCATAGAGAAGGTTTCGATTGTTCTCGTATGTACTACTCCATTCCAGTGGAACTCGTTTCTTCTCGAATCTTTGAATGAATCATTACGGTGTTTATTCTTTAATGCGATGTTAAGGTCATCCGAGGGCGGGCGATATAGTTAGGTTAGGTCGAGTCCACACTGGTCCGCAACAGTATTCTTATTCTGTTATGATTAATAACTTATAAAAAGTCAGAATATATTACTAAACGGTTCTTTACAATTTACATACACAAACTAAAACTTAAAAAAATAATATCACTACACTACATACACTTTAAGTTATTTTAGAAAATGTTCAAAAAATTCGCCATTGTTTTCAGTTGCATCTTTTTAAAAGTTAATTACTACCTATTTTCCTAGAAGGACAGGTCGACTTAATTAAATTTTTCTCGTACCGCCACTTCGAGTGCCTCTCTTAATTCATAAGTTCTTTTGTAAACCTTATTGTTACTATACCGCATAAAAAATGCTAAAATGTCAGGTGATCGAGGAGACCCATGCAATTAGTCCACCTCTTCCTATCCCTGCGTTTGTATAATTATGATATAAATAATTTTTAACATTTCTTTTATTATGGGAGGTGGGGGGTGGTGTGTCATAGTCAAAGTCATGTTGGAACCACTCTATTGATGCGCGAGTATCTACACGCTTTTCTTCATTTGAAAAATTCATATTTACAATTTTTGTTTATTTTAATTTACAAAGTTTCGATGTGACAGCTTCACATTTACGAAAGCAAAGACGATTGAACTTGTTTCCATGGCTAACTAAGTAAAATTGTTTAAAAATGATAAGAATTGGCTATAACTCAGTAATTTTTCGAAGAAAAGATATTATAGCTTATATCACTAAAAAGCTTAAAAAATGGCGCTTTTTATGAAGTCATGGCCAACTATGGTTTCCATTAAAAAAAAACTATGTTTGTGTCATACGTCAAAATTAATAGGCTTTAGAAAAAAACGGAGGACACAATCTCGTTAAGGAAGTGATTATCTACAACTTTTATCTGAAAACTTTTTGCCTAAAATAGCTTATAATGGAATTAGGGACAATTTTTAAAATAGCCGAAGTTTGTGTTTTTCGAAATCTCTAGTAAGCCATGAACTTTTTCAAAAATATGAAAGGCGCATATATATGACCTCACAAAACTGCAATTCTCTCCCCATTTAACCGACTCTCTATCTCCAGTAGTTTCCAAGATACCCATATAGAACATCGTAGGAAACTCACCCTGTATATCAGCTCCTCTGTATTTAGCTTTCTGAAAGTTATTAAATATAAATACAATGGTCTGACCTATAACGCGAGTTATACATAATGAATCGCCCCAACAAATATGCAAATTCCGCTAGCATTTATTACCTCCTGCTGGGGACATTAAGGCCATATTGAATTTGTCATTGAAAATAGACAGCTGTTGTATATGTGCATCGAGTCAAATTTGTATTGCGATCGCATTACACGTCACATTTAACAATATGATACAGTTGGTGGACCTGAAAGGCGATATAATTGTTATTTCCGTATACGTGTCGACTGCTACGTGCTTAAAAACAGAAAATTGTGGATGTATTGTTTAAGTTTTTAATTTTATACAATATTTATTCTAATCCTTATGGACGTTAAGTATTGGAAGTATGAAAAATATCTTCTTCTATATGCAAGAGAATAATTATGAATAGAGAAATGGGTTACTATTTCCAGTATAAAAACATCTAGAAATTTTAGAAAATAATTGTTCACCGATTCAAACGGTTGATGAAACTATTATTTTTAAACGACAGTTTAAACCGTATAGCTATTTATTAGGGGCCATGAGAACATACCCAACAGCAACAATGGGGGTGATTCTAGACCTAACACCACTGCACATTGTCGTCGGTAGATATGCTCATGCGACAGTAATGAGA